AGTTTCTCTGGCCACATCTAGGCTTGAGTGCTGTCACACCTGTTCTCGGTGTAGACATAACTTGAATAGTACCTGCCTGAAAAAAAAATTAAGTACACCACATGATCCTCAAATGCTAGCTGCATCATGTCTAAAGAAATTCAGGAACAGATTAAAAAGAAAGCAATAAGTCTGGAAAGAGTCACAAAGCTTTGGGTGACATTATCCACAGACGGTCATGGAGGAGTGGTGAAGCTTCCCAGGAGTGGCCAGCTAAGAAGAAAATTACCCCAGGTGCGCTCAGATGACTCATCAAAGACCCCACAACAACATGCAAAGAATCGCATGCCTCAGTTGCCTCAGTTAGGGGTCAGACTTCATGTCTCCACCATAAGAAAGAGATGAGGCAAAAATGGGCTGCAGACAAGAGTTCCAAGTTGGAAACCAATGCAGAGCAAAAAGGACAGTAAGGCTCAACAACAAAGCTTAACAGGTCAAAATCTTGATTTCGACCTGTTAAGATTTGTTTTGCCAATGTGGCAAGATGAGTGGGTCAAAATTCCTCCACAGCGCTGTAAAAATACTCATTGCAAGTTATCACAAACACTTGATTGTAGTTGTTGCTGCTAAGGATGGCCAACCCGGTTACTAGATTTAGTGGGGCAATCACTATTCACACATGCAGGTTTGGATTAACTGCATTTTATTGTTTATGAAACACTGAAGTGCAACAAACAAGCAAAAAAAAAAAAAAAAATGACCAGGAAGAGGGGAAAACTTTTTCAAACAACTCTGTTCGGTAAGAATGATACGTACATGCTGCAAGGGAATAGTGCTAACAACATATAGCTGGGGTTTTGGTAAAAAAAATAAAAAAAAAAATCAAGTGGAAGAAATTTAAATGAACGCAATTTACTGATAATCTGGACATTTGGAAACCCTGCTTATTGAATACTTAGAATCATGTTGTACCACCAGGAAACTGAAGTTATCTTGGCCGCAATGAAGCAGACAACATTCTAGGATTTGAATTCATCGTTGTATACACTTCAAATTTTTACGACGGGAGTCGTCTTTCGTCGTGCAGTCATTTAACAGAGATGAACTGTTTTTTAAAACGCTCCTCCTGACGCCTGCTCAGCCAATGGTAGCCCCACTGGGGGCGTGGGCCGCCGGGGGGGTGGGCACCCTCCGGATGAAGCATCTGAGGCACACGGTGCTACTGCGAGCCAGCTCTTGCCAGATTTGAGTCCCACCACCAGATGACTGTCAGAGCGCATTTCCTATTGGGAAGAAGGGGAGAGGAGTAAAAGCAAGGAGACCCGCCTGGGAGGAAGAAGCCTGTGTGAGGGACACGGAGGCAGAGAGTGTGAGGTACAGTGAGAGCAGAGTCAGAGCAGAGTGAGAGCAGAGACTCCAGCGGACCGCAGACAGGCAACTTCATCGGAATTGTTTCGCTGCGCGCTGTGGCGGAGAGTACAGATCGCTTCCGAGCGACTCCGGGTCAGCATCAGCAGCATGCTGGAGAAGACTTAAAGGCGGACCGCGGACATTGTGAAGCTCGGCTGAGGCGTGCGAATCTCTTGACAGTCTACCGGAGAGCAGAGCAAGGAGGCAAGAGCCGTGCCAGCGAGGCAAAGGAACAGACACTGGAGAAACGAGCTGATGCTGCGGGAAAGTTACCAACTATGGAGATTTACAGCTAAGTGAGAGTTTAAGCACTGATCGGAGCGTTCAGAGTCATTTCTCCACGCTGGATGCGGTTATAGACAGATCTCGGTGCGCTTTTTCTTCTGATTCTGGTGCCGCGGTGGACCCAGCCGTCTCGGTCGGCGCAGATCTTTTCACCCAACACAGTCAGTGGGCAGGATGTCTGAAATGACTTCTCTATATCTCGTCTTTTGCCTTATGGTGACAGGTAAGATGTTTCTATTCAGTTTTGTTTTATTATTTAGCCTGCAGGTCTGTATTGATGGAAGGGGATGGATTGCTGCTCCATATGGCGCTGCGTCAAGTCGCCTCAGTGCGCTGGTCTGCTGCAATGCTACATTTCACAGCTGTTAATGACCAGTAAATGTTTAATCACTTATTTAAAAAAAGAAAAGAAAAGAAAGAAAAGGCAGCTGCCAGCTGCATCAAAGGATTTCACCCCATGTGTGCCCGAGTGAATAATGTGAATGCGTAATTTGGGTTTATCCCAAATGGTCTCTGCTCTTGTGCAAATACAGGATCTCTTCTCTTAAGTGTGTGGGTGTGGGTGGGGGGGGGGGACTTCGCGCAGAATTACGGCTTCGGGGCGCACCTACACAAAGTGCATCTCTGGGTGCTTTCCTTTGAGCAAGTAGAAAACTGTGGATTTGGACCGCACAGAGCATGTGTGGGAGTCAGTGCGGAGCACAAAAGCGTGGACCAATCCACGAGAATGAATGGGACAAACAAACAAAGCGAGTCCTGCAAGCGCTGGTGGTGCTCCACGCACGGCTCCTCGTCCCTCCAACCCTGCAAAGTTACTCGGCGGCGGTTTTCCTTTAAGAAAAGATTAACCGGTCCGGGATGTGGTTGTAGATTTTGAGTGAAAACAGAGGAAAGGCGCATAGGTGGGGATGCAGCGGGGTGCATAGAGAGTGATGTGGAGGGACTCAGGGAGGGAGAGAGAGAGAGAGAGCGTGGATCGGAAAAGTGAGTGGGATAGACAAATTGGGTGAGAGCGTTTGTTTCTCTTCAAGCGAGCAGAGACACAAAGCACCTGTCTCCCCCGCTCGCGTCCCCCACACAAAGACACACATCATCACCCTCTTCTGCTTTTTCTTTTGCATGTTTGTAGGATTTACTTAACGCTTTGTTTATGTGCCAGCAGGGCAAAACGCGCTCACTGCGCTTTGAGAAAAAAAAAAAAAAAGAAAAAAAAAAAAGAAGTTATAATAAATTTTTTAAAAGAAAACTAAATATTACATATTTCTGCATTTGGAAATCTTAGTAGATGTTCCAATGCATATTTAAATGAAACTTGTGACTGCTGTTCTGCTAGGCTTATGAGAGTTTACAGAAGTATAAACATCGGGATCAACAAGCTGCATTTTTGAGCAGCTGCTCAGAGCCGGCCCAAGGGATAAACAAACTAAGCTGCTGCTTAGGGACCCCCCAGGCCAGCAGTGGAGGGCTCCTAGGAGGCCTCTCACAAAAAAAAAAAAAATGTACATTTGTACTTGCAAATAAAAGTTAAGTCGGTATCCCCCCCCCCCAAAAAAAAAAAAACTTTCACAATTAGATTTATTTAGGATTTAAAAAGAACTGACAAATGTAATTGGAATCAATCATTTTTGCTGCTTGTGCTAGACAGAGATACATTTGGCTGCTTGGGAATATTTGAGACGCCAACAACAGGGACGCTTATGTTATGGAAACTAAAGGAGCTCTTATTTAATTAACACTGTCATAAAACTGCTGTGGGCATGCTGTAAGATTCATGTCTGTAAAGCCGTTAACAGTAGAATATATACATGAGTCAATAGTTCAAGTAATTATCCAGCACAAGTCAAGTTGTTATACTGTCACTGTGTGTTCTCTCTATGGAGAGTGTCTTTAAAATATTACTTAGTAACTGTTTGTTCTATTTTTTTATTTTATTTATTTATTTATTTATTTTTGCTTAAACTTATGTATCAAAAGAAAAAAAAAAAACCCTTTGGCGTGCTTTTTTTTGTCTTTTCATTTTTCCCCCCCCCCCCCCCCCCCCACTCCTCGCAGCTCTCAGCAAAATGGCAAAGCTTGCCCAAATGGCCATTTGCTGCACGTGTACGTCTTCACCTCCAGCCCCCCGGTTCCGCATGGTTTTGTCATTATTCAAAAAGCCCGAGGGAGGGTACATGACACCAGTAAACCTCCGGTCCCTGACAGAGCAGCAGCAGCTGGATGAGAAGAAGCCAAAACCAGACAGTGGCATATATCCCTTGACCTCAACCCCACTGCATATTGGAAACACTCACATTTCTCTCTTGTGCTCCCTCACCACACAAACACAACAGAAATCATGAAAACGGTGACAGCTGCCCTAATTAAAACCTAAGAGACCCTAGACCTCATCTACTGGGTCACTCTTTAAGGCACATATGCTCACAACTGGTTGCGCTCGCAAAGGTATCCAACTTGTGATTTCCCTTTTTCTATTATTTTTTGCATGGCACGTTGCTTACATTTCAATGTACGTAGGCTTGCTCAACACAGATAATTTACTTTCTCAGAGGGCTCCCAGAGGAATTGGATTCCACACTGCATCAGTATTCCGAGTAATCTTCAGTGAGCTCTTCTTTGGAACCTTTTGCTTTGGGTCGCCTGCATCTCATCGGGCCAAGTTCAAAGGCTGCGAGCTGAGATTACAAGTTTCTCTCCCTTCCTCTTAAGTCGTGTCGCCACTCACGTCTCACTATAGTGTAATGCGGGGGAAATTTTCCACCTTGCTTCTTCTTCTTCTTCTCCTTCTTCTTCTCACAGCTCTTTTTACCCGGTTGCCTGAATGTGTGACTGCGAATCGGGAGGACATGAGAGCAAGTCTGCCTAATGGGCCGGAGGCAGAAAGCAGACTTCCACCAAAGGTTTTGAAAAGCCCCATTCACTATCATGTACAGTACTTCGTGCAATGGAGTTCAGATGCAGAACTGTAATGTAGCAGGGGAAGCGAGGAATACTCTCCACCCCTCCCCTTGTCATCCCTCTCTTCCTCATTATTAAAGATGGGTCTTCTCTACACTGAGCACAACTTTGTATGTGGATGCAGAGACAACAGAGCCCAAGAGGTTTGCTTTAAGCAGCCGTGCATATTTTATGAACTGACACTCCGGGCTCTTTGAATTCTCTTGGATGGAGTCTGGATGGGGACAGTTAAAGAAGAAGCCGGGGGTAGAGGAATATGGTGGGAAGGAAGGCTTAGCGGGGATGAGACTTAGATGTGTCACCGGCATCTTGGTGATTAAGCAGAAAAGTGTCTAGTAAACAGAAACAAATTCCACTGAGGTTTCCAAAAGTTTTTTTTTTTTTTTTTTTTTTTTTCTGTCTTGTTGCTCTTGTCAAACAAACCCAGAATCATGGTTAGAATCGCTTTGCTTTGTCCTTACTTCTTCAAAAAAATAAAAAAAAAAAAAAAAAAATTTTAAGCCCTAATGATAAAAGGATTCCATGGTAGAAAGTTTGGAGAGGCAGAAAACCCCAGCAAGCCAGTGAGGTGTGTGAGAGACGAGGTGCGAGATAGTGCAAACACAGCAGAATTCGAACACGTCTGAGTCCCGAACACCAATGTATTGCATTATTTAGAAGACAAAGTCATGGCAAAGATATGGATATTTTCCTCTCTGCTGGGTATGCTGTATGAGCTCTGAGTAACGGGTTTCTTGAAGGGTTTTGTACTGGAGGTGGAATCTGAATTAGACATGGGTCAGGATGAGATTTCTCACTGTAAGATCACGCTAAGTAAATACGCTATGGTTTCACGGCAATACAAACGTAACGGATCTATGGAATAAATTAACTAAATGCTTTGTTTTTAAAAAAAAAATCTGGGGTAACTGCACTGCACAGCAACAGGTGGACATCATTGTGTTGAACTATCATCCACACTGTTGGAGAAAACTCTGTTTCTCCATCACTTTTTTTTTTCTTAAAAAACAAAACAAAAACACTACAACAAGACAAACTATGATGGACGGAGCATTTCAGCAGTCTTGAAATCATATTTAAAATTGCTAGATTCTTGAAATACCCATTAATCAGTAGTATTATCCTAATATGTAAAGGTTGACAATACATCCAGCTCTTAAGATGAGATGATGCCTGATGTTGGATTCATGAGAGGAAGAGGCGTTAAAATCATACAAATCATAAAATGTGTTTTACAGACATAAAATGCATTTTGTTTTTCTTTTTCAAAAACAATATAGAGGTTTTATGAATCTCAGACTGCATTTCAAAAATCTCTCTTTAATCTAGAATTATCCACATCAATTCAAAGTGTCTTAGGTAACATACATTTTATAAACTAATTGTTGATGCTTCGGTACTTTTGTAACAGGGTGTCGGTGAAACGTCTGTGTATGTTGACTGTCAACACAACTAGGCAACAACTCAGGAACCGCTCCATTTTGTACTTCACAATAAGATTGACAAAATTAGAAGCAGTGTATCAAACTGAATAAAGCATTCACAATTTGTGCTCACAGTGCCACTTTACACATCTTCAAAGTTCAGTCAACTGGATAGTGTTTTTCAAGACGAGTTCATTTTGAAGAGAATGTGGCGTCTTAATATATTATCTGAAGAAGAGCTGTGCAATTTTTGTGTTAAAATCTTAAAATTCGATGGGGAAATGCTAAACAGTTGCACAACACGACCAAGATTTTTAATAACGCTCTGTTTTCTGTGACAGTCTTGAAGACCATTGTCTTTCGAGCTCTCTTCATATCCTCACGCTTCCCCTTCCCCCGCCCTTACGGAAGAAGAAGACAGAACTAAAACAGAGAACAATGGAGCTTCATAACGTTGCTCGTCTCTAATCAGTTTTGCCATTTGGGTAAACACAGATAAAGAACTTGGCAGCGTGTCCTGAGGCGTCGTTATCAGCTCTGAGCAACTTAACTGGATGTGCGCTGCTGGCTCAGGCAAAACACAGGAAAGCACAAGAGTAGCCAGGTAGCAAACTGTTGATGGCACTTGGCCTCATCCAGTTTTATTTTTATCTCTATCCGCCCATCCTCCTTTTGTCTTTGTCTTCGCTCTGTCCCCGTGTGCGTCTCCGCACATCCTCACATCCTCACCATGTCTTCCTTTGAGTCAGTCGGAAGATCTGGAGAGGAAATGAAAGGGACTAGGAGGGCAAAGGAGGGCCATGTCAGCATCCTGCCTTGAGACCCCCCCCCCCCCCCCACACACCCCTTCCTTGTATCATCAGCATAGAAAAGAGTGGAAAAAGCAGAAAGTTATTTACCCTTTTTATTCTTCTGTGCAAACACAGTAATGGAAAGAGGGGGGAAAGTGGGATTAATTTGGTGCCTTTCATTAAAACATCCCCCCAAGGGGAAGAGTCGCGTTCATACAGTAGCAGCTATTTCAAGAAAGGCTTGAATTGCATTTATCTCCCCTAAAAACGCAAGTGTCACCTCCTTCTAGAGAGATGTACAGTATCACTGCTCCAGAAGACTCTAAACCCAGAAACCAAGACAGAAAGAAAGAAAAAAAAACAAAAAAAAACATGAGACATATAGGACCACACATTCATTTTTATTTTCCAATCAATTGCTGCCTGGGAAGACAAGGATTTCATATCTCCTGCCGAGAGACAAAAACCAACAGCAAATTGAAATTTATCTTCTGCGTCGCAGCAATATCTGTTCCTGTGTTATCTTCACCAGCCGTGTTATTTAACCTTGTTTAGAGATAGCTGTATGGATTTTGGCAGCCAGGGGGAGTCTTGCGGGAAAAAAAACAAAAAAACGAAAAGTCCCATTTGCAGTGCCACCAGACAGCATTAATTTGACACCAGATGCTGATCCATTTTACTTCACTTCTCACTCCCTATTTATGAAATTTGATTGTTGGTGGCAGAGGAGCTGAAATATTCAGCGCTGTGCACTAGGGCTAAGAGCTCAGATAGTAATGGATCAAAAGAAGCTTGCTGAGGCAACATCCCCAACACATAGGCATACTCAGAGAGGTCAAGGGCAGACACTGAAAAAGTAACTGATGGGCTGGGATGAGTTTCCGACATCTTCAGGGCCGTGTGCTTTTTTTCCCCTATAGCTAGACGGTGCAGTCAGATTGTCCAGTCGACACTGCAACTCAATTAACACCTCATCTCCACAATCAACTACATGAATGTTATAGAGGAGTTGCACCAAGAAATAGACTGTCGACCACCAAATGACAGATTTTCGCTTTGCTTAGTTCAGACCAGTAAATGTCCAGTTGGAAGTTCCTATGTCCAATCTTTTGCCAGTATTTAAACACACGCCCACTAGTAAACAGCATGTGGTCAGGGCAATAACCGTACACTTTAGGCTACATACAGACTACGTATCAACTATTCTTTGTATCAAACAATTAAAAAGGAATCTCTTTACTACTTGTCATGCCAATATCTTTGATATGAATGTGATTGGGACTCACTGAAGAATAAAGATCACCGTTACTTTGATTTCATCCAGCATTCCTCTCCAAACTCCCTTTTCATCACTTTCTTTAACTCCATCAGTTCACACGTGCAGCGATTCCAGGACAAATATTTTGTTATTGATCAAAGTAATAACCAAAATAGTTGGTCTGTTTTTGCTTGGGCTGCTCTGTGTTGTTTCAGGAGGTTCTCTGTGGGTTTAGAGTAAACATAGCCTGTATTCTGTTTCCCTTTTTTTTTCTTTTTTTTTTTTGCTGGGAAAACTTAGGAATCTCAACCTAGGAGGTGAAGAGGAGATCCAAAACCTGAAGGGATGTCAGTCAAAGGTTACTGATTGAAAATTTAACTGCAGTTCCCCGAGTGGCAAAACACGTTAATGCCATTGAGTGGTTCTGAGAAGCGAGCGAAGAGCAAAGTGTGTAGGTGGCCGAGGCATTGATGGTGGGTGGTGGTAAGGTGTGTCTCTCTCCTCCTGTCTGTTTGGGGAAAGAAAGCTGATGCAAAGATAACAATGGGCTCAGCATGAGAGACGGAGCGGGAGAGAGAAAAGAAAGAAAGGCACAGGGGGGTCAAAAGGATTTACTGCCAGGAGCCTAGCATTCCAGGTAATGGATATACTTGTGTTAGTGTAAAGAAAACCTGCTGTTCTTCTTCTCAGACAACAGAGGTGAAAAGCAACAAAGGGGTAACAGACTGAAAGTCTGAGGCGGATTAACAGAAAGTTGATAATGCAACACCCTGGGCTAAGCATCGTGTCCTCTCATGAGCGTCCATGTGTCAGCTTAAGAGTGCAGATAAGGGTGGTGCGGCAGACGCTTGCTACGTTTTTGTAAAGATGCTATGCGGAGGGCAAAAAAAACAACAAAAGAAAAACAAAACACATGGCTAAGTGCTTCCCAAGCTGGCTAAGGTAAACCAAACACCCATCTTCTAAAGAGGAAGCAGTCCAACCATTGTTCCAGCACATTGCACCCATCTGACTGAGATATCCTTTGCGTTGCGCAGATCCCTGGGGGCCGGAAATAGAACGAAGCGGAGGAGTACAGGGACCGATTGTTCCCCCGCTCAGACTATCCACAGATGGGGGTATGGCACGGGGACGCTCGCTGTTTGCTTTTGAAAGTCCCAGGCGTTTGCTTTGCAGTCATGGTTTACGGAATGCTCTGGGGGATAGTGGAGAAAAGGGAACCACTGGAGAGAACGGGGAAAGAGCTCAGAGCAGAGAGAAAAAGAAAAGATGGGGAGGGGAAAAAAAGTAGTTTGCTTAATATCTTGTCAGGGTGAATATAGTGTCATTGCCAAGAAGAGAAGACGGATGATATAGCCATCCAATGATGGGGTAGGTGGGTGAGAAAGCGCTCAAGTCCTCTCTAGTTTCCGAACAGAGACATATAGAGCTGGGGATAATGGAGAAAGAAGGAAGAGTAAAGAGAGTGAGGGAAAAAAGAGAACGGATGAGATGCAGGGAACCCAGAATGCATCCATCATGTGGTTTGGTGCAGAAGCCATTTGTACCTATTGTACTCCATAATTTGTTTTCTCAGAGCTTGCACTGGGAAGGGTGAGGGAGGGGAACACACCAAGCTATGGCAGCCATTTATTTTTGCACTAATTACATAAGTGAGACAGCATAATTAGACGTATAGCTAAACAGACAATAGGCTGAAAGAGAGACGTGCAGAAGAAGATAGACGGGGAGGTGTTGATGAATTCAGATAGATGAGAGGCTTGGGCCCTCTGTTTCATATTCAAGAGTGCGAGGGAACGCGTTAAAAGGAGTAAAGGGGATGGAGAAGGATAAAGGGAGAGGAAAAAGGGTGAGTAAAGGAGATGAGGCGATGCAAAGGATAAAAGATGAGAGGCAGGCAGAGAAAAGCTCTCTTCACAGACTGCACTTTTAGGCGCGGCCCAGTGCCACAGGAATAAGGCGCCTCAATTTATACACCTGCTCAGCAGGAGGGGAAAGAGACGTATAAGGAGATGTTGTACAGGAAAAGAGAAAAGGGCAAAAGAGAAGAGAGGGAAGAGGAGATTGATCTCATCTCAGCTCCTTCAGATCAAAGGCACAGAGTGGCTACAGAAAGCTGTTTGTTGTGGCTTGTTTGGGAGGGTCCCCATCTTTTTTCTTTTTTAGAGGTCACGAGTTCATCTGGTCTGCTATTTTGTTCAGGCAGGATTACTCTTAACAACACATGCCAAGCCCTTCATAAGCTCCATACCCTGCAAAACATTCTCTGGTAAGAAATCGTGAGGTGGCGGTACCACATAAGTCTGATCAGGGGATGAAGGGTGGTTCATTAGATGTCTATGCCACACTCGTAGCTTTCTCTTCATGTGCTAATACAGGGATGCATCTGCTCTGGTTCCTGTGGGGCGGTACCTTGGTGTGTTGGACATGTCACAAGCCTTTTTTTAGGTCTCTGGTAGAGAGAAAGATAAATAGACCCTTAATGAAGCCACTCAGTCACAGGTCAGTTAAAACTGCTGACCAAGGATTGAAGGGCTTGTCAGGCTTGATTGGAGGCCCATTGAGGCTGGTCAAGAGAAGATGCTCTGGAGTCGTCACACTTCAGATTAGCCATTAACCACACTCTAAACCTCCACTTAGTCATTCCTCTTTCTCTAAACAGACATCTGACAGACTGTAGTGGCTCGTGTTTAACTCCGTGAGCGGTCAAGGGAGTTTTTAAAAAGCCAATTTAAACTCAGTCCTATGTTTAACCCCTCTAGGAACTCAAACCTGGACTCACTGCATTGGTTGCGCGGGAGAGTTTGCATGTAGGTTATTTTTTTCTGACTCAAGGCGTTAGTTCCCCCGCTTTTTATGCACCGGATTTACAAGTAGCACCACACTGAAATGAAATTTACAACACTAGTAAAGCAGAATTTGGACTTTGTAAGTTTTCTAAGTTACTTTATTTATGAAAAAAAGAAGAAAAAGTTCTCATTTGTGCTACTGAATGGTTGAATGATGTGGCTCAATCATGTGTTCCATTTTAAGTCAAGGGGGAAATTTCCATGTTTTGAATTTGGAATAGTTCCCAGAATTATCACCTTGAATTTGGAATTTAAATTGGAAAATTATGATTTTTCTCACCCAACCCAACCTCAGTCGTCAGCGTAATTGTTTTTTCTTTTTCATAGAATTTAGATACAATAAAACCAGCTTAGCTGCACATCTAATTTTTATCCTCCAAAACCTTTCATATGTCGACTAAAGGCACAACATGGATAGAATATTGTTATCACCTTGTATTGATAATTAGCCTGATAACTGAGCATATCTTGTAGCAAATGTAGGTGATTTGGTACCATTATTAAGTATTTAAACGAGAATACACCTTAATTAGATTTTGTCTTCAAAACAACAAAAGTATAGCCACAGATTATAGTAAATATACATACATCTATTTAGAAGGTTCTGATGAAACAAATATCTACATCAGTTACTTTGCAAACAAGTGATATCAAAAGCCTTCTAGAGCACCACTAAGGCAGCCCAGGTAGCACCAGTGGTACCTGTGCTGTAGGCTTAGGGTTTACATCTAGTGCAAAGCTGTCTTGGCACATTCAACATTCTGTTTAAAAAGGTCTGGGCTCATATAGCGGAACCTGCACAGACTGTTTTTATTTTTTTATTTTTTGTGAGTGAAAGACAGGGTGGATGAGAGAAATCAATGACCCAATTCAAGCCATTACAGCCATGACTGGTGCAGTAATGGTGTGGAAATGGACACTGGTCATGTGGATCCCCCCGCCCCCGTTTACACCTCCAGGCTCAGATCACAACTGAGGCTCTTATTCATTTCCTTCGTGCTTTGATTTAAAAAAAAGTATTCTGAGGGTTTCTGAGGGTTTCAGAGGCTCTCACATGATGGGGACAAGGGAAGAGGTTTGTTCGTTCTGTGCGGGAGAGAAAAAAAACTTTATCTCGCCAGGGTTGCCAAAGGACAAACGCATAACACTGGGCTGGAATCATCCTCAACAAATAACACTTGTAGCCGTCTCTTCTGGCAAACGTTGGCTCTTTGATTCAAGGTAATGTGCTAACAAGCAGTGGGTATATGGAATACCCATAGCCTTAATATGTGTATTTTCAAGGAAGTGAGAGTCTGCATGTGGTTTTGTGTACATATGCCGCTCTGTGTGTGCATGTGTGTTTTCACACTAATTAATGAAAGGCTTTATATGCCGGCTGAGGTGACAATGGCCTGTCTCCAGTCAGGCATTGCATCCCCCCTCCCGTGTCAGTCTCAACCCTTGGTGGTCCGGGTCCTCTCTCCCGCACACTAACGCATTAATGAGCCCAGTCTAATTAGTGCTTGTGGTTTCATACCAGGGACCCCTGAAACCACATCACCATTGTGAGTTAGCCTAATCAGGGGACCACTAAAAAAAAAGACAAGAGTGCCCAGCGCTCAAGCGGGGGGACGTTCACATGTATGCCCGGCCAGTTTGGACTCCCTCAAATTAGCGCCCCACATCTTTTGGGCGCGGAGAGGGAGCAAAGGAAGAAAAGGTTGCATTTTTCAGATTTGTGACCACTGAGGATCGGCTGCTCACTCCTTCCCATTTATCTCCCTCACTTCTCCTCCTGAGGGCGATGCAGAAAAATGATTTTCCTCTTCTTCTTCCTTATTCTTCACTGGAGACAATTCAATCTGTTTAATATAAAATAATCTCTCCCGATTTTTCAGCCCATTTTAACCTGATCAGTCAAACCGCTGCCTCAGGGGGACAAGCTGCGTTCCACCTTGTCAAATAAAACAAAACAAAAAAAAAAAAAAATTGTGGGTGAGTCAGCCCACAATTTCTTTGTGCTTTGAAAAGTGTCTGTTTGCTGTTCTTATGTATCGCATGTAAAACAGACGGTAATGTGATTCAAACTAAAGGACGTTAAAGTTCCTACACATTTTTTAAGTCAAAATTCTGAACTTTTCCAGACTCATATTTTTAAATACTAAATAGAAAACGCTGGTATGCTTTAGGTATATTGGCAAAGCTTTAAATGTGGAATCTGCGAAAGTGAATGGCTGGATGGATGGATATTTATTCTCATTGTTTTTTCAGCTCTCAGAAAGTTACATAATCTTTTCATCCTTCTTGTGCTTCTCTCAACCCCCTATGTAGGAGTCCTGAGAACGAGAAACGGAATGACACAAATAAATATACAGAAAGGACATTAACAGTCCTCATAAAGGAAGACAATTGGTGATGCGAGTTGTGGTGCTTGAGGTCTGGGGGTTTAACTTGTGTCCCACAGCACTTAACATCCCCGTAGCCATCTCTCCTGGCAGTTAATTAGAATCCAATAAGGTTGCTGCCTGTTGGTCATTGTTCCTCCAGTGTGTTTACCCTTTCTAGAGGCTCCATTCGCTGCTTAATCTGGCGAGAAGCTGAATGTCAATAGGTCAGGCCAAGACTCCAGAGCCCTGAGAGAGAGAGAGGGAGAGACCCTGAGTCGACACACAGGGAGGAAGGAGAGAGGATCATTCAGCTGAAGGAAAGGGGTCATTTTTCTCCTTTCCCCTCAATATTGGTCTTTGCCGTTCTATTCATCCGCACCCAGCCTCCACCTCTTGCTTCTCCCCTTCTTGTCTTTTCTTCTCACTTCTAATCCATCCTCTTGATTGTTCTAAGCTGCTTTCAGCCAGCCCCCAGGAGGGTGGAGGGGTGGAGGTGGCGGGTGGGGGGGGGGGACTCAGAGTCTGTTTTAATTAAGATTTAAAAGACGACTCCCTCAAGCGGGGAGATTTAAGAAGAGATGGACAGAGCGGAGTAAACGAGTAAAGATGGGACAGATTGCAGATTGGACACAGCAAATATCAGAAAATCGGTACGGGGGGAAAGTTAAAAAGCTATTATTTAACGCACGTAGACGGGAGCGTCGAGTACACAAGCACAGCCAGACACTGAGGCATCTAAAGGGGGCTAATCCAAATGGGATTTTTTTTTTTTCTTCATTTGTAATCACACAGCACAATCTATATAGATTGATCTCAACTTCCTGTGATTCATACCGTATCCTGCGAGAGTGATATGGGATCAGTGGTAGCCAGCAGGCAAGCTGAGCGAGTTATCTCCACTCTCTGTCTAATGATCGATCATCTCACCAGATGGGCTTAAGAGCCCTGTAACACTTCACTTGTTTATCAGAGCTGCAAACCTTAGGCCTATCTGTAGATGTGACCCGCAAAGTAAGTGTTATTTTTGCAAGCATACAGTACTTAAGAGTAAATGTGTTGTGATCAGGGGCCCAATCCAGTAAGTTCTGAAAGGGGTTTCCAGATGGGGGGCACCTGCAATATTCTAGTGGGAAATCAAAAGAATTATAGTAGTTTTATTATATTGTTGTCATAATGGGAGGAGGTGGGAAGCCAGGACAAGGTAGTGACATTAGCAGAAGATAAATTAATAGTCAATTTTCAAGCTAGCCCCCTCTAAATTGTTAGGATTTAAAAAAAAAAAGATCTAAGCCTAGCAATTTAGGGTTTACAAGAACAAAATGAGTAAAAAGAAAAAAAAGTAAGGTAAACGTAAATCTGCAGCATCAGATGTGCGTCAAAAAATATCCCCCCATTATTTTCTAACGTCTCACACAGGCTGCGTCGTGGCAACGCTTCCAAGCATGGATGCAGCGATCCTTTTTGAACTCGTTCTATTCAGAAGCTGTGCTTGCAGCATATCCTGTCTCGACGCATTTCAGCAGAATGTGTGCTAAACGTGAGCATTTAACCAGAGGCGCGCCAGCTCTCCCGCTGTGCGTTGCCCACAACGATTCCGAAAATCAAAAACGTCATCTTTCAAAATGTGCACGTAGCGTAGAACAATTCAGTTGAGTCCATACATACTGCGGTTTTTATGTTTTGTCTCATTCTAAGGTGGCGCCGATCCTAAAGAAGCATTAAAAAGGCTGACTTTTTGTTTTTGAGTGTTTTAAAACTACTCAGGCTGGATAAGTCTTAAGTATTTCATATTTTGAGTTGATAAAAACAAACTAGACCAATAAAAAGAAAATTAAAATACTATAACTGAATCTTGCTGGCTGGCCTGGCGAGCAATCTTTATTATTCGATTTTGTCCAAACAACTTCTTCATGAGAGGGCAGGGAGCTTTAAAGATAAGTTTAAATATCCAGATGGTAGCCGTCGAATAATCCCAAGTTGGACTCTTCACTTATTCTTACACGTGGCTGGTTTTGAGTGGCATTGTCACAACAGTGGACGCCTGGGACATCCTCATCAACTTCTTAAAAGTCTTATCGCACCATGACAAAAACAGATTACCCCACAGGAGTCTGGCCGCTGGAGACGCAACGCTGTTGCATTCCTGCATTGCTGTACTTAACGTCACGCAAGCAGGGCATTTAATGGCAAGGCGACATTTGCATGTTTATCTGCAGCCGCGTAGATGCCGTGTGCTTTGTGTTTAGTAAACCAGTCACATTGCGCACATCTGCCCCTACTCGCAAACTTAACACTCTTCACTTGAAGACACACCCCGACACAAAGCGAACAAAGAAGTGTTTAAGTTCATCAAACCGCAGACTTTGGTGGAGGCAAGGGTCAAAAGCCCAACCCATGGCATTCTCCACTCGGATACAACCCAACACACAGCCACCATATGTCCACGGTTTCACAGTTAATGAGCCAGCCCACCCCGGATGACAAAGATCTATTCACACCCGGTTGACTCTGAGGGAATCTGCAATTGCCACGGTGTGATTAGGACAGAATACAGCACTAGTCCAGTCAGTGGCCATTTGGGAGCAACAATAAACTAGAATGAACAGAGGAAGAAAAGGCGTGTTGGGGAATATGGTACACGGAACAAAGAACTTTATAAAACACTTTAAGGGGATAAACGCAGGCATGATCTCACCCTCAGCCTCGCTATGGCTCCATCGCCCGCCTCCATCAAAGCCCCCCCGAGACTCTCCCAGCACACTTTCTGCCTCCGTCACTCACAACTCTTAATAAGGCCAGCAGTAAACGGCGGGGAAAAATATGTGGGGATGAAAGCTTCTTCTCTTATGTTCTCGCTTTGAGGAAGTGTTTCAGGTTGTCAGGGGAGGAGGGGTAGAAGGCAGAAGGGGGTTCAGGGGGGTGCATCTTTATGGAGTAATTCTGCATTTTAATAGAGACAATAAACCCGTCTGCTTTAAGATAATATTTTCTCCCGTATCCTGTTGTGTTGTAGCTCTGGGGATTTCTGACAGACAACAAAAAAAAGAAAAAAAAATCCACCCCCTCTAAGCAAAAGGTATAGAAGAAAGCCATGCCAAAGAAGAAGGTGTGCAGGGTTCCTGGGGGAGGGATAGATCACATATATTCTTTCACCGCAGTGATTAATAACTTGGAAAAAAAGGTCAAACTTGACTTGAAACGGTCCAGTATATCACAGTTACATTTGGAGTCTGCGTTTCATACATCAGTTCTGGCTATGATGTCCCATCAGTCCCATCAGCCTGGTCACACAGGAAAGACCCTCTGTGCAGATTATCAAAGATTGATGGGGTGTCCTAGTTAAAGACAGAGAAGCTCTCTGCCATTCGCAGCTTTTGCGGAGGCACTTTTGTGCGAGATTTAAGTGCATATGTTATGCGAAGCCCAAGGATTTAACTCGAGTATGTTTAGGAAATTTGCGAACGTGAAATTTCCAGACTTATCTCAAAAAAAAAAAAAGACAAATGAAAAGCAGCACATAGGACTTTACCTCCTCCTATGATCCTTTGTACTCATTATTCTGTAACTACAGATGAAACAAACTGACAGAACAAACAGGATGTTTATCCTGATTGCTCCTTTTCTTCCTCTCCGAGACACAACCTAAGCATCTATTCTACTCTCTGTTCGCTGTCATCCTACCCATTTTCTTTTTCAGAGTGCTTGCTTAATAATTAATTGATTAATTAGTTCCCTCATTAATCATTTACTCATTAATCATGGCCTGATTTTTTCTGGAGGAAGCAGCGCAATCTGAAAAACCCTGACTTCACATTTCACTCTAATTATGCTCTTTTACTAATCAACGCTTAAGAAATGGAGTTTCAGGAAATTAGTTTTCCCTTTCCTTTCTCCTCCTTTTCTCAGCACAAAGCAGGATGTAGTGAGGTTGGCATGTTACGCTTTCCCTCCCTTTTTTGTGTTCTCAAAGCTCTTAGTCAGGAGTAATTTTTAGGGATGGTTGAGGATTTATTAAGCAAGTTTCTGTTAAAAGTTAGCAAAGGTTAATAACTGACGTGCAGTAGATAATTCTTCTGGCACCTTCCTTTAGTATAAATTCACATTAGCTGGACACGGACATGGACACATCTACCATCTTTATCTGCTACAGTGTCAAACAAACCATTCAAATCTTTAATTTGCAGTCTGTATTAATCCAGAAAACCTTAGAGTTTAATCTTATTAGCTTCGGTTAATGTTCTCGTTTGCTTATGCCATTTTTATTCTGAATTCTGAAAACATTTGCCGTTTGTTCTTGTTTTGCATTTTTACAGACTGCTTTGTAGAACATCTTGGTTTAAGTCAACAAATTTTTGACTTTTACATCTGCATTTTAATGTGTGCATTTTACTTTGTGAACTTTGCAGCCAACAGGAAGGGGAAAAGAAGTGTAACCTGAAAAAGTCCTGATGTAACATAGCATCACTAAACTGATGACTGCAGTGTATATTCTCTTGGAGATATTTTTGTTAAAGTAGCTTTGAGTATTTAAACAAAATAATGCAGCTGTTGAGGAGAGAACCTAGTAGGGCCATTGCTCAATTCTCATTTCACTGCTCCATCTGGGTTTTCTCCCATTGACATGAATTTCTCTGGTAGAATTTAAATCAGGCCAATCAGCAAATGGAAGGAGATGTTGTGAACAATGACGTAAATTTTCTGCTCAGTAGTCTGTCTATAGTTTTAGCAATGGTAACAGACGAAATAAACATTCAGTCCATGTTAGCAGCGCTTCCAAATATTGAATTAACATTAGCAGCCTCCTCATTCGACTTAGCACTTCTCAGTACGCACAGTGGGGGATGGTTGTTTACAGTGCTGGCAATTTCCGGTTGTTGATTAGAAAACCCCAACATCGAATTGGCGCATTACTTAAGTCACAGGCAAACATTTGCAACTAAAATTTAAAATTCAACACAGTCCACGCCTCCAGGAAGCAGCGTTTTCCTTTTAGCCGAGAGCCCAGATCCTCTGTACAAAGCAAATGACCTACGACAGGGGGTTGGGTTTTACCAGTCCAGAGAGAGCCAAGTCAGTATAACTGGGTGCACTTGATGTTTAATTTGGTTGGCTTTAGTTTGGTTTTGTTTGCTTTCATGAGGTCAACTGTTGAGTTATTAGTTTGGGATTTTTGTAAGTAATGTTTTGGTCATGATTTTCTGTAAATGCACCACCTGCTACACTCTACGTCATCTCTCAACTACCGT